CTATTCCTATACAAAAATAGTTAATATGAAACTCATTTACATCAGATCTATTATGGAATCCAAGAATTATAGTACTATTAGAAGTATTTTGAAGAAAGAACAAGATGAAATAATTGCTCTTTATATTTTCAAAATAAATGATACTTAGATACTGAAAACTTATTTAAAAAAAGAAAGGATTACCTATAAAATTTATCAAGAAGAAAGAAAAATAATAAATGTTAGAAAAAGAAAGTAGAATGATAATGCATTATTACCTAATAAAAAGCAAAAATCTCTAAAAGAAAAATAACTACCATTTTCTTTAATAGTTGAAATAAATTTCAATTTATATAGAGGGAAATTTTCTCAATTACTTTTTGATTTTTAATCAAAATCATCTTTTAGTCTCTTTGACTTCAATTTGAGTAATTAATTGATCATTCTATTGATCTTTTAATTTTCCATTTTCCTCTTCTAGTTATTTAATTCTTTTTTCTAAACTCTTTACCTTATTTAATAACTCCTGTTTTTACTTTTTCACTCTTCAGATTTTTCCTGAAACTTGGCTACTTCTTCTCTTTCAATTTTTAACTCTTCTTTAGCAGTTGATAACTCTTTTTTTAGCTTTCTAGTTTTCTTTTCTAAATAAGAACTAAATGCTTATGAAAGTAATTCTTTATCAAAAACTTGTTTAGTTAATTTAACTTTTAAATGATTACAAAGGTACCTATTTTTATTTCTCTTAACCTACTACACTTTTTACATCATGGAAGAGTATTATTATCATAATCTTTTTTACATTTGCCATAAATAAAAATTATGTCAACATAACCGTCAAGAGTATTATAATCCACCATTTGATGAGTAACAGGAACAGTGTCAAGGCTGAAATTAGTTGGATTGTTAAAATCTAAAAAGCAAAAATTACATTCTTATTTATCATTCTTTGTTATTTTCAAAACTCTATATTCTAACTTCATACAATTATTTACTTTTCTAAATAATGAAAGTTTAAAACTTCTTTTTAGCCTTTTCTTTTATTTTGCTTATTAATTTTTTGAGTTTGTGTAGCTTATTTTCTTTTTGTTGTTTTGGTAAAGCTGGTAATTCTTTCTTTTTAAGTAAACCTTTTGGTTTATTTCCTGATTCTTAGCTACCAAATTATTTTCCAATAGATCTATTTAGTCTAGAAGTTTGCCTATTGCAACATCATGCCTCAAAACTGTTTCAAACATTTAATACTTCATAGCTGTATTTAATGCTTTCTCAGCTTCTCCTCATTTACTTCACTAAGAAATATACTTTTAGCAAGTTTCACCTAAATCTTTTGAACTATCAATAAACTCCTCTAATATTTTTTTAATTATAATGTTATCAAATCAAACTCTTTCATACTCTTTCATGTATGGGTTAGGATGATTAGGATCTTTAGTCATTCTTAACTTACCTTTCTCTAATCACTTTTTGTTTAGTTTCTTATATTATCAATGACTAGAGATATAACTATTTTCATCAAGTTGACCAATAAGGTGTTAAATTTTTAATTTTAGATTTTCAATTTCTTGTTCTCTTTTTTTGTTGATATTACTGATTTCTTCTAATAGTTGTTTATTTTTCTATTTAAGTTCATTTATTATGCTTGTCATGATTTTCTTATTTAATTATTTTTTTTTATTTATTCTTTTAATATACTTATATCTTTTTTATAAGGGTATGTTAAATATATAAATTATTTTAGTACTTTTTTACTTTAAAAGTGGAAAAGCTAATAAATATTTGTCAAAAGATTAAACCTAATGATAGTAAGAGAACAAATTAACAAGTGACGAAGTGATTTTATTCTAAATATTTTATTCACTTCCAGTATAGATTGGTCTTAGACAAGTAATATCTTTGAATTTATCTCTAACAAATAGACAAATATTATAATAAAGATATTCTTGCCTTTTGTAATCCAAAGGAGGTGATGTCAATTCTAAAATAGATAAAGCTTTAATTTCTTCAAAAATATCCATTTTCTTAATTTTTAATAAATTGAATTTAGTAAAAGTTCTATTAGCTACTTCTTGAGTTTTGACTACACCAAGATTAAATGCTTCAAAAAGAAAATGTTGATACTTTTGTAAACCATCTAGTTTCTTAAAATAAATTCTTAAAATAGCTTTAATATCTAAGTATTGAAAGCTTTTTTCACCTTTATAATGCTGAGTTTTATTTAATCCTGTTGGACTAGATTTTTTTATCACAACCACATGATCCAGACAATCTACTTTTGTTCTTCTGTAAAGTTTTTTAATCAAGCCAAAATTACCATCACATTTGAATTTGGTATGTCTTGGAACCATGAAGTTCAATTCAACACTTTCATAATATTCACAAATTACTAAATATAAATAAAATTAAATAGTCACATTATTTTTATTTTGTTTACCAGTATTATCACAAGTAATCTTTAAATGTTTTTCACTTTTGTTTAATTTTTTAATTCCATCAAAAATCATACTCAATGTACCATTTGATTCTTTTTTTATAATTTCATTTTCATTAAGAACATAATTAATTTGTTCCCTTACTGCTTCATTTTGAATACCAAATAAATGAATTTTATGTAGACTAAGGTAATAAATTTTACTTACTTGTTGATCAGAATGTGGCATATAAACATTTTGGGCTCAATTATAACTATAATGAGTAGTGACATCAACACTGCAATATTGTATTTTACTTTTTGAATAATTTTGATTAACTAATTTTCTTTGTTTTTCTGCTAATTTGGTATTTTTATTATAATAATTTCTTTCTAGTTTGGCCTTGGACAGATGTTCTTTAAATCTTTTAAGTAATCTTTAACTTCTTTTTCTTGGCAAGCATTATAATATAAACTATCTCTAAAATGTTAACAAGTATCACACAAATCAGTCCTTAGACTCATAATTTAAATTTCTGGTGTCAATTGATATCATAATTTTCTGAATGCATCATATTTTAAGGATTTTAATTTGCTATCTTCTTCTAGACTAGCTAGAAAATCTCTGTAGACTGATTTGTAACTCATTTCAGCTAATAAGAATACAATTGATTGAGTTATTCTATTAATACTTCTTCCTGGACTTGGTAATCTATGAACTTCTGCATAATTTTCTAGAAAATTTTTTACTATTTCAGCAACATCTTTGTCAATCACCATTTTAGTTTTCTATTGAGACATCCTTTTAATATTACCATAAATTCTTGGTAAAAGACAATTTTTATCAGATGATTTCTAATATTTTCAAAATAAGTTCTGTCAATTTCTAGTATATTGAGATAAGTTTTTTGACAAAAAAGTGTATTGTGATCCCAATGGTAGAAAATTCTTTTATTAAATCTGATTTTCTTCTTAAGGCGTCTACTACTGCTTATTGATCCACCATTTATGGTTTTAAGTTGAATCATTAAAAATATGTCTTGTTCAGACTTGGAAAGAGCTTGAAAGGATTCTTTTAATTCTGCAAATTCTTCTTTGAAAACTATTGAAGAACAACTATATTTACAATCTTTTTCTAAAGATCAATTGTTTTTTGATATTCATTAGAACTATTATATTTATTATTACTTTTCATATACACTTATCCCTATATATATAATTTTATAATTTCATATTCACTTTGTAGGTTTTAATTTATTTTAAAATTAAAGAAATTTTAAATAGTCTTGTGGTGACAAGTAAAGTAGGTAGATAGAAGTATTTTCAAACATATATTCAATAATTGACATAAAAGAGAATAAAATCTTCAATTGGTTTCATGAAAAATAACTATGTTAAGATTAAATTATTTTAATGTTAAATTTTAATGTTATTAATGTTATTAATGTTAAATTAAGAATAGATGAAAGGTTTGTGTTCAGTTTATTACAAAAAACCTTATTAATTTTGACCTAAGAAATACAGATAAGGAAATTGTTTGCATAAAAAACTATAAACCTTTCTTATATATATGTATATTAGCTTTAGTTTTACAAATATATCTAAATTTTTAATTGAAAATTAATTGGTAGAAAATCATGAGCGATTATGATTGGCATATATATTTAAAAAGGGAAAAAATAATCTAAGAAAAAGAAGATACTTATCAAGGTAAACCTAGAAGCATAAAATCACAAATCATCATTCAAGAGTTATCAATTTTAGATAAACTATCAATCAACGCACTTTTCAAAAATTCTAATATAGAAGAAGTATCTAATCAATTTCATAAATTGTATTTTTATATTGACGTAGTTAAAAAAAAGGGGGACCAAACAAATCGGAAGGTAATTCAATATTATTTTCACTTTGAGAAGGCTTTATTGAAATGACTCACCATACTATTAAAAAGGAATCCTTTACAATTAGTACATACAAAGCTAAATAGTAAAGTTAAAGATAAACTTTCAAAAGATCTCAGTCAGGCTATGGTATACAAAAGAACTGATACAGCCTGAAAGATTTATGATATTTTTAGTAAAATCAGGAAAAGTAAGATTTAACAGATTAAATCCTTTATTGCTTCTAGTTTTCAGACTTAATAAGAAATGAGGTTAAATAAATTGTAAAAAACTTCCTATCCCATGAATAGAATATTTGACACTCACCTTTGATTTATCATATAATTTTTAGCAAAGCTAGTTTCACTAATAAACTATATCATATATAATCAAATACGTAGATTCACTCCATTATGTGATACTGATCCAGAATACCTGCAATTTTTGTGTCTCTATAAACCTCTTTTAAGTATGTAATACTTGCTTTTAATATATTCTTTGATATTAAAAAATTCGGAAAAATGTATTCTATAGGAATTTTCTCATATTAGTTCGAAAAAAAATAACAAATAATCATATGAAATAATTGCTTACATGGCTAGAGAATGATTACTGCCTTTTTTTCAAAATCCTATCTTCTCACATTTCATGTTTAAAGTCAGAGTAAAGTAAGTTGAACTGTGTGAGAAATTTACAATAATCAGGAAATTCTAGGAAAATAATAATATAAGATGTTTGAATTGTATATTAGCTGAACAGACAAGTATAGTAATGAATTCTAGAGAAACAACTTTCAGGTACTAATCATATCCTATTTTCAATAGTCTTAGTAAACTACTTGAAAGAGCGAGACCCAAAACTTTGGTCTTACTTAGAGTTTCTAACCCTGAACTGTACTACTATTATTAATTTACTACTATATACAAATGAATGGAAAGGCCTTGATAGCATATAGATTAAACGATTTCTACAAGAGGCTAAAGAGTTAGATTCAGACTCAAATAGTATTATAGAAAAGGTAATTTTATTTCAATTTAATGCAGAAGGGAACTTCTGACAGATATTACCTGATCTAGAGTATCAGTAATTTCTGCCTAAGTAATAGTGTGAGGCAACTCCTTGACAGGTAGTACCTGCGCTTAGAGTATCAGTATTTTCTGATCCCACTATTACGACTTGCTTTATTATGTTTCAGTTTGGTTTGTTGAGATGTTGGAATGACGAAATGCATATTCTAATTATCTACTCTATTCTAATCAAGGTAAACTTAGAGTGTGCCAATTCTGACCTGTGTTCTTTTTAGCAGAATGTGATCATTGAGAGACTACAGGTAAGATCAATGGAAATATGAAAAATTTTAATTTTATCAATGCATTCTTTTCTGAAAGAAATTCTTACAATTATTATATTAGCTTCAAGTTCAAAGTACCTATAATAAGGAAACCCTTCTTACATTTGATGAGTCTAGTAAATTCTACAGAAGTCAACTCATTTACCTTACAAAGATCAGAATACAAATTCAACATACTTATGTGATAAACATGCTTTTGATGTTACTTTTGATTCAAATTTAATTTCTCTTGAGAGAGCGAAGAAGGTTAGTACTATATACAACTTATAAATAATAATTAGCTTCAAATCTTTTTCTATTTTGATATACACACAGATCAAGACTATCAGCAAAGATGAAAGCACAGAATATGATTTAGAATCAGAAGAAAGTGATGAAGAAGTGATTGATAAAGTACAAAGTAATGAAGAAATCAAGAGTCTTAAACAGGTATTTTGGCATTTTTTACCTTTTATGTACAATAACTGTATTCATTCCTTAATTTTATAGGATGAAGTGAATATTTGTGAAAAACTAAACACAATTTTGAGAGAACAGAAAGAAAAAGAAATGAAATCAGGAAAGACCATTATTACATCAACAACACTTAATAATATAATAAATATTTCTGATAAAGAAATAAACAAAGTAATTAAATTATATTTTAACCAAGATCAAATTTGTTAGCTAAATGACGTACTTAAAAAGCAAGTGTTTAATCCAACTGAGGAATTCAAAAATTACATTGATTAATTTATTGAAGGAGCATGCAATAGAGTTCAGATCCCATTTCTCGTCTGTAAGTCTTTCATTAATGGAAGATTTGATTCTTATTATTATAAAGATCATGATGTAGCTCAGCAAGTTCTCACTCACTGGTAAGTGTTTGCTTATGCATGTGAGTCAGCTTTCTATATTATTTCTGATTTTTCTATTAAAAGTTCTGTTAGGTTAGAGGCTTCTATTTTATATGAATCAGAGTATTTTAAATTAGAACAAACATTTGCAATAGATATGACTATATACATAATAAATAGGTTATTTCATATGAATGAAGACTTATTAGACATTGAATGGTAGATATCAATTATGAATTTCAAAGTATTTAATTATTTTCTCTAATCCTCTATCTCTTTTACTCAAGATTGAGCTAGGAATAAAATGCATTAAGAAGCATAAATTTGACGGTATTTTGAAAGTGATAAAAGCCAAAAAAAATAGCAAAACAATTCTTTTAATTGAATTCGTTAGAAGGGAAACAACAGCAAAAAAAGAAGTAAATAATCATACTAAATTAAGTATAAATATAAAAAGAGCTTTAAACAAATTACTAAAAAATATACCAAAAGAAATGGCAAGAGTATATCTCATTCAATCAGCAAGTAAGTATCAAAATTAGGAATCAGATGATAAAAAAGTTATTTATACATATATATTTTCTTCACAAATGGGAGTATCAATAAATTAAATACCTAATTCAACCACTTCCTTCAGTTTATTTGATGAATCAATTTTTACTTATGAAAATACTGGTTGTTTTTGAAGACTTCAAAAATTTTGTGAAAGATATGACCCAGTTGATGAATCTTTAAATAAGAATTGATAATAAATATTCATAGACACCCTCGTCAGATACTGATAGTGACTGGCTTTTATTATTGTAAGCTGATGTACTTTTAACTACTAAATAGATAAATAAACACTCAAATGGTGGTGACGATGCAAGAGTATTAGATTCAGTTCAAACTACACCAGAAAAGCTAACAAAAGTCAATCTAGAAAGGAAAGAACATCCTAAATCACTAACTCCTTCTAATGGTGAAACTTATCTTCTTGCATAGTCAATGGATTAAATTGATGGTACTTTAGAAATTAGTTTAAT